CAAATGCAATGGAGAAAATATCGTAAAATATCAATTCAGTTGATGTTTATAGCATTGATCTTTTTCGTGTTCTATTTACCTACAATACTTCTAGCTATCTCTCAAAAACTTGGTGTTCCATCTAATGTAGGTGCCGATTTCACTCGATATGCAAATTTTTTTAACAATTACATAATATTTCTCTTTCCGTTTTCATGCATCAGTACGTTACCAAAACTGAAAACTCGAATAAAAAAAACTCTTCATTGTTTCTGTCGACGACGAACACCTACTATTGTTCCTTTACATGTTATTCAAAAACGGTTAACAGCCAGCGAAGCAAAGAGAGAAGAAAACAATTAGTTAGATAGTGTTGTAGTGTGATATTGTTTTTGAGAAAAATAAATTTATTATAATGTTGAAATACTATCTTTTATTTGTCAAAAAAAACTATCTTTCATTGGTATTAATATTGAAGGAAGAAAGATCTATATTTGTATTGCTATTTGATGATGAACAAAAGTATATAGTAAAATGCAAAATGCGTAAGAACTAATTATCTCTATTCTGAACTTGCTAATTAAAAGGAAGTATAAGAGATTAGAGTAAAAGCTATTTGAATAATTTTCGACATGAAATGAAAAGTATAAACAGTAAAAAGAAACGTGATTATCATACTGCGTATGAATGATTTTTTTATAGAAGAGTTACTAATTTCAAGTATATCATAATACTCACTCGTTCATTGCCAATGCTGTGGTAATGTGATCATATTAAAATGAAACTTTCATATGGTAGTTTTTAAGCTGCATATTACACAGAACAGTATGTATGTATGTTTATTTTTATAGTTGAACAACTCATTCTATTTTCATTTTGATATGTATGAACATCCTAAAATCCAGTAAAGATGAATGAAACATTCACAAATAAATCAAGGCAGAAAATAATAGTTCTTTAGGAAAAACTTCAGTAGAAATCATTTACAACATATCTGGCGTAGTCATAATTTCTTTTATCATTATTAATCTAACTACTGTTTTAACTTTGTTTCTACATAAGAATCTTTTGACCTGCATATCATTTTTAGGATGTGAATAAGATATAAATAAAATACTCGCATTTCAATCCATACACCACACCCTTCTAGATGAATGTTCTCTTTGTCGAGATATCAACGATCATCTTTAAAAATTTGAAATCTCAATAGAAATCTTTTAAGTTTTTCTTCAATTCATTTTGCAATCAATAGAAAATCATTTTACTTCTGTTTTATTTCATTCAAATATAATGTCACCCATTAGCAATAAGTTTACATTTATTTTTGAAAAGTAATTCAATGCATCGAATTATTTGATCATCAGCTGGTTATTAACATGTCAAATCGGATAGGATTGATCTAAGAAAACTACTATGCTTAAAAGTTGATCAATAGTATTTATAATGACTTCTTTCTTTTCACTACAAGTATTATATTTAATATCCATCATTTGATTGTTTCGACCAAAACTCCAAGTAATTCTTTGATGTTGGGTAGTCTACTGTCGAAAAAAAAACATGTGCAAGTATATTGTTTCTATCGAGTTTACATCTTCATTTTTGCTCTACCTTGAATTAGATAAAAGATAACAATTTTCACTTAAAAAAAATCTATATAAGCACACGTCTCCACTTTTTACTTCATTCTATCACGGTATTTAAATATTACTTGTATAACGCTTGATTATTAAGTAGAGTATAAAAAGAATGTTGCGTTTATTTGTAGTTTTAGATTATTGCTCGTGTGAGTTCTAATGACAAATCAATATTCTAATTTGGTTGATCAATATCATCGTGATGGCTTTGTAATATTGCGAAATGTCATTGATGATCATTTAATAAAAGAATGTCAACAACATGTAGACTTTTTACGAAAAAAATATCCAGCTATACCAGGCGAACATTTACATCATCCTATAATGCGTAATGATCCATTTTGGGTTCGATTAATAAGTGATCAGCGTCTGCTGGATCTGGCTACTCTCTTTGGAGCACCTTTCTTAAAATCTGATGAAGGTGTGGCCATATTTTCATCACATTACTTTTGTAAACCAGCCAAAACAGGCATGACTGTTCTGTGGCATCAAGATGGTAAATAATATTTTTTTTTAAATTTCTATTCAAAGATCTTACAGAAATTTTTCGCTTATTGTTAGGCTCGTACTGGCCACTGAAACCAATGAATGTGTTAACAATGTGGTTGGCTGTTGATGAAAGCGATAAGGAAAATGGATGTTTGAGAGTAATTCGTGGTAGTCATAAACAAGAATTGACTACGTTAAAGGATGATGTTACAGTTAGTAATGTTTTGGGCAGTTATACACATCGAGACGAAGATATTGATCAAAACCAAATCGTTGATATTATTCTAAAGCCTGGTGGTAAGTCTGAGCACTTTTATATTTGTCGAACATTTTACAGTCATTAAATCTTTTTTTATGTTTATTTCATATATAAACATAAAAGAGATAAAGTTGTGTTGTTGGAAAGAAATTTGATAGTAGAAAACAAGAATTTAAATATGTTTTCTCA